GATGAAATTGTTTAGGGATGAACGAGTTTAAGAGTTTTAAGAGTTTAAGAGTTTTTAAGAGTTTTATCCAAATGCTTTATAATATAGTATAGATATAGTATAGATAAGTCTTACACAGTTGTCTCCATTAGGGCACTTAAAACAGTATTATCATCTTATAAACCCGATTTTATTATAATCAAAACATTAGTATGCATACCTCGAGTTGGTTACCCATGTTAACAATAAAGGCATTAGGAATGGCTCCAACATTGATCCATTCATCACCTTTCAGAAACTGGAGACCGGTGGAACCACCTTGATTCAAAATGGTAATAAGGCTCGGATCATAGTGTGCTAATATCCCCATGGTTAGACTCGGGTCCGGGCATGGCGGGTAGAAGTTCGTCGACAATAACTGAACTTCGCTCTTATCCGTGAAGTACCCCGGATCGAGTCCTAGTCCTTTGCACGCCATCTCTAAAATCCTTGAACTTAGCTTCTGTGTTTCCACTACATATGCTGCAATTACCTCCCTGTATATATACATTTTTCACTTATAAGAATCTATCTCTATATATATGCGCATATATATATATATATATATATATATAATGTGTGTGTAATGATGAAAACTTACTGATATCTGGTTGGTGTTTGGGGCCATTGAGGAATGCATTTCTCCAAAGGATGACAAGGATGCTTAAGATTTTCCCTCCACAAAAACACACCATCTTTATTATAATCAGTGCTGTCGATGTAAATCCAGTTCTTGGAATTCGGGATGATCCCACTTCGATCTTTGGATGGCATGTCGAAGAATTCTTTGATAACATCCATGGCATCATTCATCGTCTTCTCTGGGACTCCATGATTGATCACCTGCACATTCATTATGAATAAAGTAAAGCTTATCAGATTCATTAGAAACCCTAAAAAGAGAACGAAGAGGATCAAGTTTTATGGGTACATGAAAGAAGCCAAACTCTTGAGAAGCTTTCAAGATTTCATCAACTGGCATCTTTTCAAGATCGATAACAGGAATTGAATCACAAACTGGAGAATCAAGATTCTGGGGTCGATTTTCTTTGGAGAATATGTAAGGTTCAGGTACGTTCTTGACGTCGAACCACCTCAAATCTTTACCCTCCTTCATCTCCATAGAATCTCTTCAACCAAATAGTCACAAGTGCACAATACAATGATCATGCAAGTGTGAATATATATATATATATAGATATATATAGATATATGTGTGTGTAGTCATTATGTGTTTTGATTTTTGGTTTATTTGTTAATAAATTTAAATGTTGAATTCAATGCATTAGATTCTCTAAAAATCTGTATTTTGATATTAATTTTAATAATACCTTTTTTCCATTAATGATTTAAAAATATATATATTTCTATGATTGTATTTGATCCATGATAAATCTTTTATTTAATTTTTATTTGCTAATGAATAGTTTAAATATTGAAATATATATATATATATATATATACATATATGTGTGTGTGTTTTTATATAATTTATAATTTATAATATACTAGAAGTATGTACAGTGACAAATCAAGAAACTAGACATATTATGTCGGATTTGTGTCTGATCTCTATTCTGTTGGATATCAAATTTATGACATATTTTGTGGTATTAAGATAACTCTATATTTATCTTCTATTTGATAATGTTTATCTGTTAATTATATACAAGTTTGGTTATTAAAATAGAGAAAATGAAGATTTTAATTTAATGTGAGAAAAGGGAAATATTAATTTTTTTTCCATCAATATTGATTATATTATTATTTTAAATTATTTTATTGAAAATTTTATTTGGATGATTAATTAATAAAACATATTTAGTAATTTAATTGAGGTTGAAATTTCAAAAATATAGAATCATATCTCTTGAAATTGATTGTATTTTTTTTAGAGATTTAAACTTTAAGTTTTCTATTTTATGGAAATTATAGATCATTTGTTCAAGATATTTTAATATATTTGTGATTAAAGTATTGTTTGACAAACATAAACTACCTTATTTTTTTATACACGTTTGGATGAACATAAGTTAGCTTATTGAAACGTTAGTTGGAGCAGTTTATGAGAAGTTTTTTGGCACTTTTTCAAATAATAATCCTCATTAGTAGCTTATTAGAAGCTTTTTGTCAATTTCCCAAATAATAATCCTCATTGATGTTGATTATTATTTATTTACTATTAATTATAAATAAATATTAATTATCAATAAATAAAACAAATACAATTGTTTTAGGTAAAATATTTAAT